GTCCAACAGAAATTGCATTAAATTACTTGTCTAAAAATCCTAATGGTCGCGAATCACTAAGACAATTAGATAGTTTTAATCGCGATGATTAATAATTCAAAGCAAGCATGCATCCATTCATAAGGAAATTAATAAATCACATATTCATGCTAAGGCTCAAGACTTCGTCCTAGCAAAAGAACTTAGTTATGAACAATCATAAAACAAAATATTATTAAGAACAAGGATAGAAAACACCTAGAAAATAAATTTGAATTGTCAAAGGCTTGTGCTTTTCCTCCTCTCCCTCCCTTCTTAACCCTAACGGCTAAAAAGACTTATTTATACTACTACAAAATAAAACCCTAAAAAGTCTTAGAATAAAACTAGGAAACATACTAAAATAATAAAACAGAAAATAAAAGGTTTCCTATTTAAACTGAAACTTCTCAGAAAATCAGACTCTTGACCAACCAAATCGACTCCGATTTGGTCTCAAAAGGTCTCTTTTGAAAGCTGGGGACATCCCCTACAAATCCTCAGAAAGAATCTTCCTCAAAATATGTCATCTTAACCTCCAAAATACCCAAAATGTCCAAAGCGTCAATCTGGAAAAGTTGTGCGCTGGACCTTTATTTCATCGTCACGGTCAAACGGCTTGGTAGAAAAATCTGAAACTTTGACACAATCATCTTGAAAGAATCAAGAACATCCTTCAATTGGAATCACTCCAAAATTCATCCGTTTGATCACTTTTTGCTCTAAAGGAAGTCGAATGTCCTACATTGAAAATATATATCAAAGCATCAAAATTCTACCAAAATAGCTAAGATATTAATATTAAGATAAGGGTAAAATATATGGTATAATATGGACTCATCAGTTATATATTCAAAACTAATTAAGTTTTCAAATGACGTCCGAATGTCAAACCAGAACTTTTAGAAGAAAAAAAAAAAATGACTGAACTAGTTAGTCCACGCCTGCATGTACCAAGTAATTAGTTGGAAACTGTTTGGCAAATGTGATGCTAGACAAATTGTCTAATATTTACGCGCTTCTTACTAGAGAAAATATTATTTTCTAATTATAAATTTCTCCAACATTTTTTTTTTTTAACAAAAAAAAGTTGTTGGCAGCCAACTACATATGTATATATATATGAGTAGAGTCGAATAAGCCCTTCGCATAAAGATATAGCCAGCTCTTACAATGACCACTAGGCAAGGAGCCTCTTCCTCCTCTTCTTCCGTCAACCATTTATGGAAATACGATATCTTCATATGTTATAGAAGCTTGGATACACACAACAATTTTACATACAATTTGCACAACAATTTTATTCAAAAGGGAATCAAAGCCTACCTTTTTAGAAGAGGAGAAGAACTTTCATTCCCCACGCTTGTCAAAATTATTGAAGAGTCAAGGGTTTCTGTCATCGTATTCTCTGAAAACTTTGCGTCCTCGGAGTGGTGCTTGGAGGAACTGGTTAAGATCCTCCAATGTAGGGAATCTCAGCAGCAAATAGTTTGGCCAATTTATTACAAGGTTGATCCCTTGGATGTACGTTACCAAAAAGGAAGTTTTGGCGAGGCATTAGCTGATTTTGAATCCAAGTACATCAAGAACATGGAGAAGGTGTTGATGTGGAGAACAGCTCTTACAGAAGCAACAAATCTGGATGGCTGGTATTTCTTGGAGGGGTATGATTCTAACCCTACCTTTTACTAAACTAGTTTCAATATATATACACGTTTGACATTCAATTTATCACATTTTCTGTAAGCTTCGCTTTCTTGAACGAACGACAAACAATAACACTCAGTTTGATGGAAAAAATTGATAGATTAGAACGGTACTAGAGGGAAAAATAAAATTTAAAAAAAGATAAGGCTGTTCAATACCGAATTAAAAATTCATGGAGCAAATCGGAGTTAACATAGGCACTGCTAAATTTTCTATTTAACTAAAATTTTCATATGTTTTTAACTTGCAGGCACGAATCTAAATTTATTCATAACTTTGTTGAAGAGTTATCAGTACAAGTGTTAAACCGTAAATATCTAAACGTAGCAAATTATCCAGTTGGAATAGACTCTCATTTACGGGTTATGAGTGAGTGTGAACACGAAAGATTCCTTGAAACAAGAAACCAGAATAACGTGTACAAAATAATATTTTTTGTGTTTATGATTTTGGGGTTACGATCTCTCTCAAATTTGGTCCTCTGATTCTATCTTTGTATGGTGTAGGTTTGTGGATGAGTTGTTGATCCAAAGGGCCGTCGGGGCTTGATCTAAGGATGAACAGTTGATGAACAGATCTTCAAGGGGCGTTGGGCTTGATCTTGAAGAATAGGTGTATGGATTTCTTCAAGGGCTTTTGGGCTTGATCTTGAAGGTTGATGGATGAGTAGATCTTCAAGAGCTTTTGGGTCTTGAAGAACGATTGGATGTGTGGATTTGTTTGTGCTGTTGATCCAAGGGACCGTTGGGGCTTGATCTTAGGATGAACGATGAACACTTTCTTCAAGGGCCGTCGGGGCTTGATCTTGAATAATGGTTGTGTGGATTTCTTCAAGGGCTTTTGGGCTTGATCTTGAAGGTTGATGGATGAACACTTTCTTCAAGGGCCGTCGGGGCTTGATCTTGAAAGAGGATTTAACGAAGAACGAAGAGAGCTTTCTTGATCCTTCGGAATTCTTGGGAATTTGGATGGTTGTAAGCTTTGGAGTTTCAAAGCTTCAAGGATTTGGGGAATTCTCTTCCAATTTGGGAGTAGAGAAATGTATTTGTGAATTCCTTGATGCTTGATACCTTGATGGAGAAGCCTATTTATAGGCTTTGAGAATGAATCACCACCACAAAATATTTTTTTCCTTTCCAAGCACCATTGCCTAATTTTCCCACTTAATGCAATATTGAAATTGAAGTGGTGTAACTTATGGCCTAATTTCCCACTTAATACCATTTTAAACTTGAAGTGGTCTAACTTATGGCCTAATTTCCCACTTAACACCATTTTAAACTTGAAATGTGTATGCTTTGTCATTGCCCAAATGAGAAAAACTTGCTTTGATCCGTAATGGATTGAAGTGTGCTTGCCTTGTCATTGCCCAACATGAGAAGAAAAACTTGTTTTGATCCTCAATGGATTGAAATGTGCTTACCTTGTCATTGCCCAAATTGAGAAGAAAAAACTTGTTTAATCATCCAAGGGTATCTCTTCCTATTTTGTTGAGTCACATGCCATGTGTACAATTTGTACGACACGTGGCGTATGTCATGTATGCCCTGACATGTCAAAACTTTAATGCGTTGGTGAACATTTGTTTTACTGAAATTTCGATGTCTACAGTGAGCTTTTAGGTATTGGGGTAAATGATATTCGCATGGTAGGTATATGGGGGACTGAGGGAATAGGAAAAACAACAGTTGCTAAAGCTGTTTACAATTCAATTGCCCATAATTTTGACGGTAGCTGTTTTTTGGAAAATGTTAGAGAAAAGTCGATGATTAGTCGAGGCCTCGTCCAACTACAAAATATTGTTCTTTCTGATGTACTAGGGGGGAAACAATTAGAGGTGATCAATGTTGATAAGGGAATCCAAGTGATAAAGGAAAGGCTGAGCAACAAAAGGGTCCTCTTAATTCTTGATGGTGTCTGATTGGTTTGGTTTGGGTAGTAGAATTGTCATAACAACAAGAGACAAGCGTCTGCTAACCGCTCATCAAGTTGATCTAATATACAATGTCATGGGATTAGAGTTTGATGAAGCTTTAGAGCTCTTCAGTTGGAATGCCTTTCGAACAAATAAAATTCCAGATGATTATGCCAAACTAGCGAGCACAATAGTGGAATTTGCTCAAGGGCTTCCATTGACTCTCGTAGTTTTGGGTTCATTCTTATGTGGTAGAAGCGTCGATGAGTGGAAAACTGCATTAGATGGTTATAGAAGAGTTCCAAACTTAGATATCCAAGAAATTCTCAAAATAAATTATAATGTGTTAGAAGATCAGGTGAAAGAAGTTTTTCTTGACATTGCATGTTTCTTAAATGGAAAATATAAGAACTATGTGATAAAAATGCTAGAAAGTTGTCACCTCAATCCCGAGTATGCTGTTAAAGTACTTGTCCAAAGGGCTCTCATAAATATCAAAGACGATCACATTTGGGTGAGTGAATCTCTAGAAGAAATGGGTAAAGGAATAGTTCGCCAAGATTCTTTAGTTGAGCCCGGAAAGCGTAGCAGATTGTGGTTTTACAAGGAATATGTGAAGCATGTTCTAACGGAAAACACAGTAAGTAGATCTATTTTATTTCAAAAGCAACATTATCTAAAAGTCAAAATTGGAAACACTTGCACTTGTATTTGATAAATAACTTGTTTTGTTCATGCAACTGTTTCTTTAATCATGCTAGGGAACATGTGAGATTAAAGGCATGATCGGGAAGTTTCCCAAATCAGATGAAATATTCTTGAGTGGTAAAAGCTTCTCAAAGGTGAAACATCTTCAACTTTCATATACATAATCAACCAGCATGCTCTTATGCATAAATATTCTTTTAAGCTTTAAGAATGAACGTACTTGCAGACTTGGGCTTAGCCAAGTTGACTAGAGCATTGTATTTCCCCCACTGCACCAAAGTTTGCATCCTCATCTCCGCAATTCAGATGAATTTAGCGTATAATATCACTTGCAACCGAAAAAAGAAAATGTATGAATGTTTTTAATGATTATTTTTTGTATAGGTTGTTTCAACAAAGTGGACCTTTTTACTGATGGCCAGCCTTTGCCAAGAGATTTTGTCACTTGCATTTGATCAGGCTTCATCACCCAAAAAACCTCAGTATGCTTTGATTGGCATGCTGTTGGCTTTTGCATCTCTGCTCACTTGCATTTGGGAGCTTATTCACAAGGGTAAGAAGGAAAAGGCTGTTATATCGAGGTTCGGAATGTTGTGGTGGCTTTTTGGTAGTCTTCCTCAATTTTATGCTCTAGTTGCCGGCATCGCTCAGTGCATTTGCTCGACAGTTCAGTATGTTTGCTTCATTCGGCATGAACAGAATCCGATCAAAGTATCTCTCTTGCCTGCCATCTTTCTTGTATGTTTGGCCACTTCAAGATTGACTTGGAATCAAATGCAGCAGAAGTCGGACTACTGAACAAAATGAGTTGTTGGATTAATCAAACAGCGTGGGCGTTTCAACTTATGTGCTTAGTTTCAGTGTCCAGTTTTAGTTGTAAATTGTAGCTTATTTTGTGGCTCAACCCAGTTGAACTAGTCAAATGAGGAGCATTGAGATTGTACAGAAACATGGTTGGTGTTGTAGTTTTTGGCCCTGGGATTGAAGTGACTTGAATTATGGCATCATTGTCCCTAATGAGGTTTTATCAAATGATCCTTAAAATGAACCAAAGTCCTCATGTTGGACTTCCAAATTCAAAATTAAGCAATGTCATCCCTAAAATTGACTACTTCACATCAATTTAGTCATTTAGTTTGGATATCGTCGAGTGTTCTGTTAGCTCGGACTAGACTAGTTTCAGAGACTAAGCTGGACTGGCTTAGAATAGACTAACCTGGACTAATTTAGTGAAGCGTTTGAGACAATGTCGGACTAAAAATCGATAATTAACAAAAGAAAAAAAATAACATAATTTTTTTTTACTTTTTTGCTTTTGAAGCTACTACTTTTGAATCAACATAATTAACAAAGTGAGGGTAAATGAAAATTCAATTAATTTGCTTTTGCATAAACTTACAGAGACTACTCCCATTGAAAGATTCTTGCACCATTTTTTTCTTCAGACTAATCCCACCAGACCTTAAATACCAAACTGATAATTCAAAGTTAAAACTCCATTTTTTTCTCTGCTACTTCGAGAAGCTGCAGACAAAAAGGAACAATAATTCAATTTAATATCCAATAGATTTAGTATCCAATAATTTGGAGAGAAATCTCCACTAAATCTGTAGCAAATTGAAACTTTGAAATATTAAAACTTCACAGTAACAAGACTGCGAATAATTCAATTTTCCTCAGCCTGCAAATTGCTGCAGATTCTCAATCTGCAATTTGAACTTTGGATTTGTTTTGAATCAGGAAAAGAAGAGGAGGAGAAGGAGGAAGAGAGTACCTTGAGTCGTTACCTGTGAGAGGAAAAGAGGCTGGACTCCAGAAAGAGAGAAGCCTGAGTCGCCGCCGTCGATTGATTCCTCAGAAACAACCCATCAACCCTCTGCGTCACCTCCACAGAAAGGCGAGATCGATTTGATGACGTAGTCATCGATCTGCTACTGCTGCTGTTGATGTGCGAAAGACAAGATGCATGGGTTTGAAAGCAGAAGGGGCGAGATCAACGAAGCTCGCAGAGGATTAGAGGGGCGAACGAAGCTGCCTTAGCAGTCCGGCTCTTTTTGGAGGGTCTCGCTAAGATCCTCTAGTGAAGGCTTTAATGGAGATGAGTCCCTTCTAGTCCCACTAATGCTAATACCTACTGCTAACAAACACATAATTAGACTAGATGTCAGTCTAGTCCAATTTAGTGAAGGCTAAGAATGGCAAACAAACACGCCCTTAATGTGCTAGTTAAGCATACATATAATGTAGGGTTTATAAGTCCAATAATATGTTGCCACATGGATTATACAAAAGATAAAAATTTTAAAAGTGTTTTAAAGGTTTAAAAATAATTGAAGGTAGGGTTAACTAAATTTTATACACTCCATGTTTAGGGTGATTTTCAAAATGGGCTACAAAGTTTCAATTGTCTCATATTGCACCCAAAGATATTGAAACTGTATCACATTGACAAAACACTTATCAATTTAATGGATGATTTGACATTCAAAGAGACAGAAGGTATAAATGATAGAATCTAAATCAACTTTGACCTAAAATTGCTAGAAGAATTACTAAAAGAAGAAGAACTGAATTGTATTTCTCATAACCCGTTTGGTATCTTGCACCAGAAGCTATATAGTAGCTTTTCTGTTTAAAGCTTATCCAATAAAAGAAAACTAACAAACAACAACAGCTCAGTCACAACTAACAATTTCTTATTACAACTCGCTCCCTAAGATTAGGACACTTGTCACAATCACATGAATCACATTTGCCACTTGGTCTTCTATCATTACTCCCATCTTTGAAATGTAGCCTTGTCCTCAAGGCTAGAAATTAGGGAACTTGATCTGCAAGTCCTGCAAATCCTCCCAAGATGCATCTTCAAAAGGATGATTTTTCTAATGAACCAAAACTTTAGTTATTGAAGAATTTCCTTGTTGAACCATTCTTCTAGCTAAGATAACTTGCAGGTACATCTTGATACAGTCTTGCATCTTGAACTGATGGTAATTGAACAGTTGGAGAGACAGATGTGCCCAATTGTTTCTTAAGGCAAGAAACATGAAAAATTGGGTAAATCTTATAATGTGTAACAACCCGTCCCAGAATTTACAGAAGAATATAGGTATTTTTGTATTTTCACTAAGTTTGGGGATATCTTCCTTTTTAAAATTGTTTTTGAACCGGTGAGCCCAAGGGGCCCACCCCCCGTTTGGTCCCCCGGTTCCCTTTCCCTTTTCTTTTTTTTTTTCTTCTGAAAAGTCTTCTCTTCTCTCTTCTCTCTTTCTTCCTCCGTGCTCTCTCTTTTTCCCCCCTCTCGGTGCTCTTTCCTCCAACAAGAACACACACACACCCATGCCCACACCTATAGCTCTTTTCTAACCCTGTGGTTGTGTTTTGGACGTCAAACCACGAAGAAACCACCTCGGAGACATTTCCCAGTTTTCCGGCTAGCATCGCCCCTTTCGAGGAAATTTCCGGCCAAAACACGATGATTTGGCCGGCGTGCAAGGTATCAATCTCTTCGTCTCACTGAGTACTACAACTTTCCTTTTTGTTTCACTCAATTTCATTGAGTATTGAAGAAGTTATGCTCATTTGAATCTTACCCAGTTTCCGGCGGACACTCGTGGCTTCCAGGCTGTTTTCCGGCCAACTACGACCACGATGATGGGAACCAAGGGTATATTTCGATTCCTTACCTTCGGGGCTTCAATTTGGTATATTGAATGACATGTTTTGGTTGAGTTTTGAGCTCCATCGGAGCTTGGGAATTCTCCGGCCGATAACCGGCCTTCTCCCTGCTTGGAATCCGGCGAACACCCAAGGCCTTTGGGCCTTTCCTGCCAAGCCCAAACCCATTACTCTTTTAATTAGGCCATTGGGCCATGAGGTTTCAAACCCAAACCCATTTTCCTTCAAACCCAAACCCATTTTCCTTCTAACCCAAACCCAACCCACCTAAAACCTAACCCAATTACCCTAACCCCAAAACCCTAAAGCCCAAACCCGTGACCCTGACCCGTTGACTTGGACCCGTGACCGTTGACTGGGTCAACGGTCAGCGTTGACTTTTGACTTTGACCGGTCAACGTTGACTTTTTGGGTTTCGTGCAGGACTCATCCTAGGCTAATTTCGACGTCCTGAACCCGTTTCCGATGTCCGTTTTCCCAAATTCAGTCGTTTGAGTAGAGTTTGACTAAGTGTACCCTTTATGTGCTCAGAGGCGATTATTTGTGGCGTTTCCTTCTTCGCTAGATGGCGTGGCTTTTCGACGGCGAAGTACTGTGAGTGGACCCCTTCTAAAAATGCATGTTTTGATAGTAGAAATGCATACATGAAAAACATGATTTGATGATTATGCTTTATGAAACGTTTTAGGAGATAACATGCTTACTGAGACTAGTTTGAATTATTACTATTTTTCCTATAACCCATGTTCTTATAGAATATCTGATGGATGACGATATGATATTTAGAACATGTTTAGAACACTTCTTTATAGTATAGATGATGGATGACTTTATACTATGAAGTTGATTTTCAATATATGTATGTTTACTGGTTTTGTACTTACCTAGTGGTCCTTTCCGCTACGGGACGTAGGGATAGATCCGGTCCGTCCCGGGCGACGGTTTGGTGTTGGCATAGGGCCTGGAGTGTGTTTTCCTCTGACTGTCTGCTCAGAGACGGGGAGCCGGCATGGGGCGTGAAGTGTATTTTCCTCTGACTGTCTGCTCAGAGATAGGGAGCCGGCATAGGGCCTGGAGAGTTGTATCGGATATTCACTAGTGTTTATTATTTATGCGAATTATGATTTGAGACATTGCACGACATGCTAGGTTTCGGAAAACCTCTGCTTATCATTATATTTGTGTTTTCATAAAACCTGGGAGTTAGTATGTTGATAACTGTTTTATTATATATATATATATATATATATATATATATATATATATATATATCAACTTGGTCCACTCATGTTTGTTTTGCGCCCCCTTCAGGACTTAGAATCGAGGCATACAATCCCGACGTCCAGGCACTTCCGCATCGGCATCTTCGAGTCCTCGTGGTGTAGGACCCACTCCTTTGTCTCATTCAATTTTATATTATTTTCTTTTAGTATTCTAGATTAGAGGTGTGCTCTGAACACGGTCCTTATATGCATATTCATTATTCTTTTATATTTATAAGCCTTATTTATCCCTTGTTTTCAGCATTTGCACTCAATAAATGGCTTTCGTCACCCTCGGGTGTCGGCCAGCACATGCTTATCCTGGTATTCGGGGAATATCGGGGTCGGGGCGTGTCATAATAAGCAGGTAGCTTTAACTTGTATGTTACAGACCCTACCTTAGCAAGTATTTCAAAAGGTCCGTAGAGTCGAGGATGTAATTTGTAAAAGGCATGCAAAGACAATGATCTTTGCTAATAGGGCACCAATCTGAGATAAACAAAAGCTCTAACTTTAAATGATCTTTTGGTCCTATTCTTATCTGCCTGAATTTTCATTCTAGCTTGAGCAGCTTCCAAATTGGTATTCAAGATGGATAGGACTCTGGTTTTATCCAATGATCCATTAAGTCGATCTTAGTTGTACCAGCTTCATAAGTAGGCACATGTGGTGGAGGCTACCTATATACTACTTCATAAGGTGTGAGTTTTGCAGCAAAATGAAAAGAAGTATTATAACTCAATTCCGCCCAAGGTAACCATTTCAACCATTGTTTAGGCTGCAAGCTAGAAAAACACATGAGATTTGTTTCTAAACATCTATTGAGAACCTCAGTTTGGCCATCAGTTTGAGGATGGAAACCGAAACTAAGGCAAAGAGTTGACCCTTGTAGTTTATAAAATTATCTCCAAAATGAACTGATAAAAATGGAATCTTTGTCACTAACTATGGAAGTGGGCATTCCATGTAGTTTAAAAACATGTTCAATGAAAACTTGAGCCACTAAGAAGGCTATGTATAGATGTGATAGCGAAAGGAAATGAGCGTACTTGGAGAACATGTCAACTACCACAAATATGACTGTTTTGCCTCTGCAAGGTGGAAATCCAGTAATGAAGTCCACAAAGATATCATACCATACTTTCTGAGGAAAAGTCAGAGAATTGAAAAGTCCCAAGGGAGCAAGTGTGTCATATTTGTTTTGTTGGCAAATGGTACAACTAGCCACCATTTCCTTGATATTCTTTTTCATTCCTTCCTAATAAAATGACCTAAAGAGCCTTTTATAAGTTTTAAGGAAACCTGCATGACCAGCTGAAGGTGTACAATGGTGCTCTTCAAACAATTTCTCTCTTGTAGGACTGACAACTATCCTGTTTTTGTGTTTCAAAAACCTATTCTCAAGCTGGTACTTCAAATGAGCCAGTGGTGTAGACTCTGAAGTGGAATCTAACACAACCTTAGATTTGGCCAGAATCCATTCATCCTTTTTCCACATGCCTTCTCAGGTCATCAAGCCATGACATATATGAGTATGATATGGCAAATAATTCCTCCTCCATTGGTGGTGAATTTGGAGAAACATCACCACCTATTTTAGAGTCAGATACACATTTAGTTTGGGAATTAAATACCCTTGCAAGGCATCTGCTGCTTTGTTATCAACACTTTTTCTGTACTGGATTTCATAATCAAATCCAAGTAACTTCGACACTCATTTCTTTTGGAAAGGAGAATTGGCCCTATTTTGGAGAATATTTGACGCCATGGTGATTAATTCTGATAATAAAGCAATATTTCCTGGTTAAATGAGTAAATGGAACACTTAAAGCAATATTTCCTGGTTAATTAAGTCAATGGACCACTGATTCTTCCAAACTGAGGGATGTATTTCCTGTAGTAACCATTTAAACCTAAAACCCTCTCAAAGCTTTCACAGAAGTAAGTAAAAGCCAATCTGCAATAGCCTTAAGCTTGGAGTCAACAACCATTCCATTTCTAGAGACAATATGGCCCAAGTATTCAATTGTGTCTTTCTAAAAGCACACTTTGACAGTTTAACAAACAATTGATGATTTTGAAGCAGTTCAAGAGTAATACTTAAATGATGCAAATGTAATTCCCAGGATGAGCTATAGATCAATATATCATCAAAGAAGGCCA